AAGTCAATAAAATTTTGAACTTATCTAATTTAATAAATTATCCAAGGTAATATTCACAACTTTATCCTGATCTCCTAAATCAAACTTTATTAGCATGTAGCCATGTGCTCAAGTAGCCATATAGTCTACAAAGTTAATTATCTGACCTAGAAATGCGTAAGCACAGAGTAACGACTTTTTCCCATCCAAGGATTTATGCTTGAATGATACTTTCCTCATCCAACAAATTTTAAAATCTATTTTTTTAACTCAAAATTAATATTTTGTTACTATCTAAATGATTTTAGCTAATTCTCTCCGTCATCACCATTTGAACCTCCGATAATCCTTTTATAAAATTTTTCTTACTTTGATACCTAATTTCTCATAATTATCGGCCATCACAAAGGTAGGGTTTCTGTCATTAGTTGATTTTCAGATGATTTCGACAGCAAATATTCAATCGATTATCACCATTCAACCCCTCAATCTCTATTTTATAAAACCCCCCTTTTATCCTAACCATTGCAACCATGTGATGGGGTCATAAAACCACCGTCATCAGAACTGTACACGTGGCACACAAGAGTCAACCGTTAACCTGGTACAGTCTCGAGAAACATTGCATTCTATGTCTGACTTGTCCACACGTAACATCGCCCTTAATTTAATACGTAAAAAAGATAAATATCTAATAGTAGATAATCTTCTTTTACTTTCAACAAATTCAAGAAGAATATTTTTCTTCGACAAGATAAGGCTTAAGTTTCTTCATTTATTCTGTGTTTTTTTTTATTATTTTAATAATATTTAGTTATTAAACTTATTTTATAATTATTGTATTTAAGTATTAATTAATCGATTAATCTAAAATTAAAGGTGTTTTTACCTCTCTCTCAATCAGCAATGGCGAAAATGTCGCCAACCCATGTGCAAAAGCCACCAGCTATTAAGTATTTAGTACAGAAAGCAGTCCTTCATGCCTTTTTTGTCTACTTGATCAAAATAACTTTACTGCTCAATCTTTTTTGTTTATGGTTTTGGACGATGCCGATTGCTTTGGGGAGAAATAATAATACCAATCCAACGCTCCAAGTTCATGCAGTGTGTGTCAATCTACGAGGTCACCGGAGGCCAAAGCTATTGCAGGTGATAGCGCGTTGCCGGTGGAGAGGAAGAGAAAGGAAGACGTGGAGTCTAGCGATTCGTCTTCATAGTCCGGAGGAACAGTGATGTCAGGGGGTTCATCGGACGGGAAGATTCAAATGAAGTTCAGCAGCTTGTTTAAGGACCCTTGGATACTCTGGAATCTTTGGAGGAAGTTCTGCCATCAGTAAGTTTTTGGTCTCGTTTTTATCCTATAACGTGGGTCTGTGTTGAGTCCTCAATTTCGGTGTTTGTTTTTGTTACTTTCTATTTAGTTTATATCCTTTTTGTGGCTCGCTGATTTTCATTTTATGATTGGACTTTACACTTAATTAAACTTTAAAATTTCCAGAAAAGTATTATCATATATTAATAAGCTCAATATCGTAACTAATGACTTCATTTATGGCTGCTTTTGTCTTCATTAGTCGGCTGCACTGCTGAAGTTGAAGTGAATGAAATTCTTGTTTCCCAATAAGGCGAGGACCGGGGATGAAATAAGTGTTAGATAAGTGAATTAGGAATTGAATTAAGAATGTTACCAGGAAAAATGTAGTGTTCAGATCGTGTTATAATTGAGGTAAAAGTGGAAGGAATTATATTCCTGATTTTGATATGGGTGTTTGATTGGTAATTAGAAAGGGCCGTAGAGTTGTTTAAGCATCACTTATCTATTTGTTATGTAATACATCTGTCCACTAGGAAAAAGGCTTTGTCCACCAAGATGATGAATTTCATTGTAAAAGATTAATTCAAGCTTGATAACTATTCTAAATAGCATTATCTAAAGAGACACACATGTTAATGTTTTTTCTGTTGTGCCTTTGTTGTTTTTTATCCAGGTTATTAAACGTCTTACATTTTTAATGTTCCATTTAACCCAGCCAGAAGGCATATCCAAGTTTTATACAGGCAATCAAAGTCTTTCACAAGCCTATCAGATGCCTCCTCTGCTTCGTCTATTAAAGACCTTGCAAAGCAGAGAATCCTTACACCAGGAGAACGCAAGAATTTATTAGCTCATAATATTTCTTAATAAGAAAGCGCAATCTCCATTTCAGAAGTAATGGAAGTGGGATGTCAAAGAAATCAGCTAACTTTGGTCGCAAGCAGTTGGTTCTGTGGGTGTCAATAACAGCTCTGAAAGCATTACCGATGAAAACTCCAACTCAATTTCATCCATCACATCTCATCATCTGCCTCCTCTGCATCCTCAAGTTAAAAGATTACCAGGCAATGGATCATATCTCCCCTCCTCGGCGAAACTCTCCCTGGCGTTCTTTCTCTCTGTCTGATCTTCAAAGTGTTGCTGATTCAAGTCCTAACGTAACTGGTTGGAAGTTTATGGTGGAGACATGGACCGCTAATAATACTGACATTTAGTTTCAGTTGGGTCATGCTTTTCAACCTCATAGTTGAAGAAAGTTTGTGGTGTTGAAGGCAGTTTCCTGCTTTGATACCATGATGTTGCCATTGTACATTGTACGTTGTTGACTGGTATTCATGAAAGGGCATTGGCGAACTTAATGTAGTTGTACTCTTTCGTTTTGTGTTGGCTTTGGCTTTAGATTCACTCTATTATACTAGAATTTTAAATATATTTTCTTCTCCTAGCTTTGGCTGGTTTTGTGTCATAGCCTCTAAACTATGAGCTTTTACTATAAATAATAGAAGTACAGTGCATTGTATCATTGTCTTTCTTTTGTCTCATTCTATCCTCTACTCACTGAAATCATTAGTATTACCGGCATTTTATTTATGGCAATTTAACCATAGCTGCTCAAATTGCAGAGGCTCTTTCCTATGCAACTCTTCTTCCACCTTTCCTGTTGTGCTTGCTGTGTTGAGATTGATGGTTATTCTATTGAACATGGCTATTGTGTCCCATTCTCTCAGTATTTCTGTACATGTTTGATACAGATGCTGAAGCAGTATGGTTTGTGCTGCAGAACTCTCCAGTTAAGCCACTTTCATAGCATTCGCCAATTGTATGATGTGCTCTCAACATGGAGGATTTGTGGCTTTGCCACAGTTAATGAACTCCTGAGAATCTAGCAATATGAAGATGGGTTTGGGCGCTGGTCTGCAAGTAAGTTCCTCATAATTTGTAGTCATAATTGATCTGAGAAACATTTTGAATGGTTAGTAGACAAAATTTTAAATTATCTGGAAACTAACAGGTGATGGATGTCACTGTATGATAGACAACATATTAATTAAATAATCAACTAAAAAGTTTCCTGCTGTGATTGATCTCAAGTATAAATAAATGCCAAAATTTATATCTTTTCCTTTGTCACAACAGATGTGCTAGGACAAGTGATGAATCTTTGTTTGATTGGAAGTAGTTGATTAATGAGAAGTCATGCAAATTATTTTCACAGTTGATGTAATTCAATACTGGTTGTAGTTACGGGGACAGGTTTGAATTATGCCATTTAATTTTATATAAAGTAGAAAAATTGTCGTTATCGACATCATCGATTAGTTTTAACTTTGATATAGTAATAAATCAGTGAGTTAACTAGTAGCAGAATAGTAAGTCTGAGATTTGCAATTAATTAATTTGCTCCTTAAGATCAAACCAATAAAATGGATAAAATAAACTGTTCAATACTTGACTTCCTTCAAATTTTTCACAACTCCTGGATAGAAGAACACGAACTTAGGTTTACTCACTGCAATATGATCTTTATCTCTCTGGGGATTATTTCTGCGCATCAACTAGTATATTCATTGAGTACTTCTGGTTCAATATCATGTCTAGACAGCAGGAGTACCGACCGAAAGATGGAAAACACATACTTCCAGAATTGTCCTAATTAGTTGAAAATTTGAATTATCAGCTGATTGCCAAATTTGATAGGTATTTAAACTATTGGTTAACTATTAATAGCTCTGCCATGTTAGACATTTGTAAATTAACTTATTGCCAAATGAGATACCTTGAAAAAGGGAAAATTTTGAATGACCCCAATTATGTTTCTTTGAAGAACATTAATTATATATGCAAAAGAACATTAATTATACATTGCCATATACAAATTTCTTTAAAATGGTATCGAAGCCAATAAAGTTCTGATAGTAAGAATTTAGCATTGATAAAGACAAATTATGACTCTTGCTTTCCTTTCACTTGTCTCGACCGCTTTCAATTGGCACGTTCTTTTGCTTTTTATTCTATTCCTTCCCGCATTTATCTCCTTGCTTCTCGTTGCTCCATTCGTAAAGCCCCCTCCTGTTTCTTTTTTTTTTTTTTCTCCCCCCTCTTTTTTTTTTTTTTTTTTTTTTTTTTTTTTCTCCTCTTTTTTTTTCTCCCTTTTTTCATTTGTTTTTTATTTCCTCTCTTTTTTTCTTCCTTCTTTTCCCCTCCCTCTTCGTCCCTTTTTCTTCTTCTCCCTTTCCTCTCTCTTTTTATGGCTCATTCCAGGTTCTGCACACTTGGCCTCTCACACTGATTATAAAGTGGCCCACAGATTTCGATTACATTACCCATGCGGACAGCAGTTTATTTTGCCGGATGATGCGGTTGGAGTCCGCCAGCAGAGACGATTTCGCTAAGACAACAAGCAGGGCCACTACCGAGAACAATACCACCTGCAGGTGTCTTTTGCTCCCTAATGTATTGCAGTGTAGATGTACAACTTCATATTGAAGTTGACAGTTGATATCCTTGATATAGTTAGAACTAGCTTTTTTGTCGCAAATGTTCATGTGCCCCTTTTGTCGTGATTGGCCAGGCAACACAAAAGTCAAGTCCTTCTCTTTTCTTTTGTCTAATCTGAAATTTTGTATGATGATTTTGACTACTATGATATCTTAGCAGGTCCCAATCGTTCTGGTGGTCTTCATACACAAACACTGTACAGCATATGATGCCGTCTCTACTCCCTTTTGTATCACAAGAAGAATTCAAGATATTTCATGAAATTGACAGGGAATTATACACAATCCTTGCCATCAATTTATGGCGGGATCCAGTGGATTCTATGCAGATTATGGCCTTATGGCTCTGGTTGGAGAGAACAGGCTTTAACAATGTTGTAAAGAAGATATTATCCTTGCCTTACACATTGATAAATGAACTAGCAGATGAGGCAGTCATCTGCCTGAACTGCATTAACAATGATCATTCTCCTTGCTCATCTGAGAATAATGATATTCCTTTGATGCAGTGCTTGATGGAGAAAGAAATTTCTCTCAGATTTTTTTACGACAATCGGCTAAATGCAATTCAAGGGGTTGCGAAAATTGCAAGCGATGTTTGCATTAGAGCAGTAACCGACATCATGCAACAAGCTGTTGAAAGAAATGCCAGTCAAAGCTTAGCAGATAGCCAGAAGATGATGGCGCAATCCTTCCAGAAATCTTTGGTTCAACCTGGATTTCAAGTGAGATTTTGTCCGAATGAAATGGTTCAGTCGTGGACCCAACAAAATGAGGTTCCAGCAGACGATAGGACTATGTTCGTTACATTCTCTAAAGGGTATCCAGTGCTTGAAAGGGAGGTAAGAGAATTCTTCACAAGAGCTTATGGGGATTGTATAGAGTCATTGCACATGCAGGAAGTTCAGTCAACTGAGCAATCCCTGTTTGCTCGCATTGTTTTTCACTCAGCATCAAGCATTGATGTGATTCTGAATGGTATGGGTAAGGCAAAGTTCACCATCAACGGGAAGCATGTCTGGGCCCGGAAATTTATTCCAAAACGCCCGAAATCGTTGCTGACACCACCAAAGCCTCCAAGTTTGTAATGGTCATTGCAAGTTTTGGAAGATATTATTGTTACTAATGACTGTCAGTTTTCATGAATAGTCAGATTGATTAATTTGTGTTGGTTATTAGAATCGCGTTCTGCCTTAGTAATCATAGTAGTTTTGTTTGTTTATTAGGTCATGATAATTTCATTTGAAGTTTGGTAAAATCTCAATGGCATATGAGTGAATTTTGGTATGTGCTTGGGGCTCAGTAGTTTTTGTTCAATTTGTAATTCATTGGATTCATTTCAATAGGATGAATGAAGTTCATATACTTAGGTTCTTCGAAATGAACATAAATGAGACAACGGATTGGAAATATACAGGAAAGGCTTCAAATCAAAACCCAAATTAGGAGATTATGGGAACACAAATTGTCAAATTTTAATGCTTAAAGAGCATCAAGTTAAAGATGCCATGCGGAAAAATAAATTTAAATGAAACAAAAGTTTGCTATTGGGTTCCTAGTTAAATACTTTTGTTAATGCGTGATTTTGACATCAATTATTCGCACGTGGGAAATGCTGAGTGGACTCAGAAGTCACACGTGGTTATGGGGGTGTTTGATTGAGTAAGGGATGAAGAACAATGTTTAAAGTGGTTCGGATGCTCAAATAAGCGAATCATACATCCACTGATATTGTATTGATGAATGAAGTCAGGTCGCGTTCAGCGAGCTGATTTATAGCTTAAGAAATACAATAGGGAGAGAGAGTGTGTGTATTCTATTGCAGAGAAAAATTAGCCAATCCCACAAACGGGAGAAGAGCCATCTATTTATAGTGAGATGTTAAGGTAATGATTACTAAATCTGTGACTGGGGGCAGATGCCGTGTAAATCCTTCTCTGTGTCCCATTACTCACCTGCCCGAGTGATTTCCTCGACTTGTGCAAGGATTGGACACATGGACTTTTTCTAGCCTTTCGCCAACCTTGCGCATACCCACTGCACTGGCAGGAGCATGCTGCTTGCGTCATCATGCGACATGACCGCATCTGAGTGGATGTAGAACCTTCTTAAGCTCCAACCACCCATGCTGACAAGGCTCAGCGTTAGCCCTACTTTCTCAGGCATAACAGAAGTCCCCTAGTTTTTAAGGTTTGAGGATCGAACCTTTTAAACTACACAATCATGCCTTGATTTGATGTGCTGAGTGACCGCTGGTCGATTTGACCTGGTTGCGAGGAGGTCGCAAAATATTTCCATTTAGGCGACCTGAAATGGTCTTTTTCCGTAAGGCCTCCGACCTTGACTAGACCTTATTCAGTGCCATAGCGATGATTCCGGTCTTGACCGAGGTTCACGACCTGATTATACTTAGCGTATTTTTTGTTGAAGGCAAAGAGTTACGTCGCTTCGACACACGATGAAGAGTATTTTATCTAACGACCTCTTCAGATGTTATCCGTTGCGCTTTGGCAACAGATACATTAATGAAACACCATTTGCTTTGACAGACGTGTCCTATGCGCAATAAGTGCCAACCATGCGCATTAAATGCGAGCCATGCTGAAACGACATTCCTTATCAGAACATCAAATACGGATGTGAACGCATTTAATGTGGAGGAGAGAAGCGAGTTGTCGCTTGAGTATTTCAACATAGAGAAACAACGATTTGATTTCTTGAAGCGTGACAGTTACTCTTTCCCGTTGATTGATGACACGTGGTCGCGATCAACGGTGAGAGACGATTTCTGTTCAAACGTCGTTTGACTTCGGGAAAACCAAGCGCCACTTCCTTCACTATAAAACCCCTGGCTCACCTCAAGCAATGTCACAATACTCAGCCCTTCAGAGAGAACAAGAAGCTTTCGTGAGCCTCGATTTTTTGTCTTTCAGATTGGTGCACACTTGACATTCAGAGCAGGAGGATCAATTTTCATACTCAAGAGGTAAGGATGATTCTTTTATCACTTTCCTTTTTCTGTTTTTGGAGATGGCTATGTGATAATGTTGATCGTTTGCTGGTGGTTGATTGGAAAATAAGCTTTCTCCTAGGGTTTGAGTCTTTGGGGGTGGCCCCCAAGGATTCTTTAGGGTTTAAGGAAGATAGTGTTTACTTTTTCCTCCACATCATCGTACGAAACAATGTACGATGATTGAGTAATTCCTGCATGTCACTTTTTTCAGACCGCAGAAGAAATGGACCTCTCAACAACCAGGACAGATGAGGGAGCGAGCTCGCTGGTGCAGGATGCCCCAGCGGGTCCCTCTCAGGAGATTCTGTCAGTAGCCACCGCAGAGGATATTCAGAAAGCGATAAACTAATACGCTCTCAGCGTAGAGGTCTACCAACATAGGACATATACAGCTCGGAATCCGTCAGAAGGAATGGCTGCGATCTCTGAAATCATTTTTAAGAGTGAAGCGCTAATCCCATTCCACCCTTTTATTAGGTCGGTCCTCGATCATTTTAGGGTCGCACCATTACAGCTTACGCCAAATGCGTATGTGATAGTCGTGGCTATATATATCGCATGCGGCGAGAACAGTTTAGGCGAGCTAACCGCGTTAGAGCTCGGTTGCTCGTATTATCTGAAGAAGAGTAAAGACAAGGACTCTTTCTACCTCTCGAAGCGATCTACAATCGAGGGAGGAATACACAGTTACCCCAGCAACATCGGGGCGTACGAGATGAAGTTTTTCTTTTTTCACTATGATGGCATTTGCCAGTTTAGGGAGCCGAGTAGGTTTTTCTTTCTTTGACTTAGCGAATTTCCTTCTTATCTTTGCTAATGAATTTTTTGTTTCTTCGCAATAAACAAGACGACCAGGTTATTGGCTCTCGAGGATCTTGACAGAATCATTGCTTTCGGCCTTTTGCCCGAACAAATTCATGACACAAGGCTGCTCGTGACAACCGCAAACTTGCGAAAATACGATTTCTTCAATCCCGAAGCAACTTTAGAAACCTTACCGAGTAAGTGCCATAACCTTAGCCAGTTTCGTCATTCGCATGCAACGAACTGTTTTGCTAACGATGTTCGTATGCAGCGACCATGCCTCTTAAAGTGCCCAGGTCGCAGTGACCAAAGGAGTTCACCTTCCCGTGGGTTTGTGTCACTGGACCAGTCGGGGAGGCTTCCAACGGTCCCCCCGTCGAAAGGACTCTAGCGGGTGCACCGGTTCAACCTACAGGTGCTCCTCAACCTGCGGTCGGTCGCCCCAAGTAGAAGACAATGGCCCAAAAGTCCAAGAAGAGGAAGCAACTTCGGCTTAAGGAGTTAGAATTCAAACCGGAGGATTTGGGCATTCAGCCCGAGAGGTTGCAGCTGTACCAGGCATTCCGCTTGGGAGGGTCTCCCGGGGGCGCGACTAGTATTACCATCACTTCAGAGGGTCCGCGAATGAGGCAAAGGGAGGCTACGGATCCTGGGAGGAGACCGGGCAAGGAACCAGCCAGCGAGACGTTACCTACTGCAGGCACGGGCACGGGCGTGCTAGACTCTATGGGGCAACTTCCGAAACATTTGCAGCGGGTGGTGTTTACCCTGCTGGAGTGCCAGCTCGCGGAAGCGTTCGAGCAATTCGTGGCCTCCAACCCCATGGATCTGATGTCCACGTCCTTTCACCACCTGAGCCTAGTAAAACGAACCGTCCTCGACGAGGACTTTTTATGTTTCCTTGCTTTTTTCAATAGAAAGGAAATTAACTCTTTACTCTCTTCGTTACGCAGGCCCTGCTCGCCATGCATTTGTCCCCGCAGAAGGTTCAGCTGGGGGCTGCTGAGGAGTTGGTTGAGCTGAGAGAAGAGAACTTACGGCTTAAACGGGACTTCGAAGCCGTACAAGCAAAGAAAGACCTGTCCACCGTTCAGGTGAATCAATACATGTCTGAGAGGTACATCACACTTCGCACGGAAGATTTCCAGAAGACCGAGCTGGAGAAGAGAGGATAGGAAGTTAAAGAGCTCTAAAGGATAGTGAACCCCCTTCTAAAAAGGCTAAGTGTTTCTTTTATACCTCGCCCAAATTCCCCAGAAAAACACGCACAAAGTAAAACTGTGCGTTTTACAAAACTGGAAATTACGACCGTCGCTGCGGCGAAGAAGAAATCTTGCCACGGCAAAGAAGAAATCTCGCCACGGCAAAGAGAGAAGCAGACATGTTTCGTGACTGGCGTACTTTGCCGCGGCGAAAAAGAAATCTTCGCCGCGGCGAAGCTTCTTGAAAAGTTCTGATATTACAGAACTGCCACTCTGCTTGCATCTTCGCTTGATTCTTCAATCCTCGGTGCTCTCCCTTGGAAGCAAGCTTCATAGTGCTTTATTCTGCTTCAAAACTCTCCCAACATCTGAGATCCGCTTATTTCTGAGTTTAGAATTTCCAATTTTGTCCTTATTTGCTCAAAATGTCCATTTTAACCTGAAACATGAAATGTAAAGAATTAAGCAATAATTCAGGTTAAAATGAACTAGAAAGTACCTGAAATCCGACTAAAAAGTCTAATGAAAATGGTATAATCCACGGATTATCAAATACCCCCAAACTAAACATATGCTCATCCCCGAGCATACGATACAAAACTAAAGGAAACGAAAACAACAAACTACGAACAAAAACACAAAACACACACACATCAATACTGAAAAATGAACAAAAACCAACAAGAATCAAATTCAACAAACAAATTGCCTAGAATTTACACAAGTCTCAAAAGTTGTTGAAAAATTATTATCAGGAAATGTTCAACACTCCAAGAAGTTATAAGCTATATCGACTATCTTTCTCAATCAGTCCACCAAGTAGGTGATCCCCACTTCAATCCACGTTCCAACTTCCCGAATTATTTTATGCAAAAATATAAAATTTATCAAATGGTGACGGACTCCATAAGCCTAAATATTGAACTACTCTCCACTAATGAGGACTAGACAAAGATAAGAATCAAAAGGTCTTTAAAAGCTTGCAACGTTGGGCTCGGGTAGTGGGTTCCAAGAAAAAGGATAGGAATAACACAGTAAGAAAACTCGGTTTTCCTAATGCAAAAGCTAACATCAAATCGAACTCCACTTCTTCTTAACCACCAATTGAAATGTCCACTAATTCACAACCCTCAAACATGTATTTTTCTTATTCTGGAAACCATAAATGCGGGGGAATTTCGTTTAAGGTGTACGTGACGTTGTTATACCAGAGGTTGCCAAGTACTGCGAGGCAGTTTTTAAGGCGGGTTCTGGTTTCCAGCCGATATACCCTTAAACTAGGCATAATTCATTTTTTTTTTTTTATTTTAACAAAAAAACAATCATCCAATTGAATTGAGGTGACTACCTCTTTTGTTTTTATTTCTCTTCTCCCAACCCCCAAACTATTCTTTTGGCTTATTCGTACAACTCTTTCGTTTGCATTAGGACCGAATTTTCCCAAGGGTACGATAAAGTGTTTAGGGTACAAGGATTGGACAATTTTGTTGTTTTCCAAGAAAAATAAAGCAATAAAATTCATATAGCTCAAATGGGTGACTAGGGACAATTTCATTCATGGGTTGGCTAGAAAGGCTCAAACGTTTCGCAAAATGCCTAAATCATCTTCTCAACCATGTCTAATCCTAGAATTTCGCCTCAAGCACTTCTCTACTAGGTTCTAGAGTCCACCAACATTATCAAACTTCACCTAACCACATAAAATGAATCTAAGCATGCCGAAATAAATGAAAATTGTGGCTAAACCACTCAACAAACCTCAATTAAAATCCAGTCAATAAACATAAACTTGAAGCAATGCTTAACATTTCTCAACAATAAAAATTGCAACAACCCTATTCTCATCATTGATTTATACAATTCATCATCGGCAAAAACAATCAAACTAAAGAAAAAATATATTTTTTTTTTTTCTTCCCGTTTAAGGTGTACATGGCGTTGTTACACCAGAGGTTGCCAAGTACTACTAGGCAGTTTTTAAGACGGGTTCTGGTTTCCAACCAATATACCCTTAAACTAGGTTTTATTTCTATTTCCTACCCCCAAACTAAACATGACATTGTCCCCAATGTTCCATTACGCATAAATCAGGAATAGAAAATCAAAATTAACAAAGGTAAGAGAAAACTCCCTGGTTAATCCATGAAGTGTTGCTCCACAATGCACACCCGATCTCGGACTTTTCATCACCCAAAATCTGTCAAAACAATTGAATTTGTGGTGTCCCTTGTGTTAGCACAAATTCACAAACTAACTTGAAAATATTACAACCTAATCTCATCCTTTCAACAACTGCAAATTAACAGAAACAACTAAAACAACTAAACAAAATCCAAAACAAAAATAAAACTGAGTTTAATGTTTAAAATGAACAACAAAAACAAATAAAAACAAATAAACATAAAGACAAACAAAAATAGGTGCTCCGGCTCATTCTTCTTCTTCCTCTTCTTCCTCATCTTCCTCGGAGCCCATCCACTCTTCTGAGTCCTAGTCGGCCCATTGGTATGCTGAAGTGTCAACGTTGAGCTCTTTAAAACTATTCTTCTACATCTCATACATCATGTGGGTCTATTCAACCACCCAATCCTGACGCTTTGTCATCCGTTTCATCATACCCATCATCTGATGCATCATCTCTTTCTGTGTAGCTGCGGAGCTTGATGATATGGCAAGGCCTGTTCTTTGCCTTTTTGCCTCTGCTCTTGGTTGCGGAGCTTTCGGACGGTCAAGGTGCTTCTTATAATACTCTGAGTCTAGAACTGGGGTAGCATGAATACGGTGCTCGTCATCCTGAACCTCGACTCTAGCTCTAAGGCACAAGGCTGTGATGAGATGTGGGAAACCGTAACTTGTTCACCCTGGTTTAGAGGCCTGCTTAATGTTGTTCCAGATCATGTCTCCCACATCGATACGCTTCTCTATGGCAATAGAGTAAAGCAATATTACCTTCTCGTGAGTAATTGTGCTGTAGTGCGATTATGGCATCAATTTCGCACTGACAAAATATTGCCACAGTGAAGCCATCGGTGTCAACTGAGTTCCCTTGAGAGTCTTCTTCTGTTTCTTCGATACTGCCCAATCTGCATCCGGTTTTGCAATGACCGAACTGATGATACTGTCCTCAAACCGTGATCTCTTAAACTGTACGTACTCATCCTGGAAAATTTCAGTCAGGTTATAGAATCATTGATCACCCTTTCCGTAAATGGCACTTAGCCCCTCTTACAAAAACTGTACCTTCCTAACAATCCGGGAGATTGGCATAAAACTCCTTTACTAGCGGCTCTACAGCCGGTTGTGCAGGAGCACTCATAAACATCTCCCAACATCTCCTTCTACTCTAGTCCAAGGCCTGACTTGCGGTCAATCCACGCTCAGGAATAATACCCTTATCCTTTCTTTGGATTGCCCCCTCATACCTTTTACGGGCTTCCTCACTAACAAAACGATTGTCAACTTTCTTTCCTTTGCCCTTACCCTTGTATGAATGCTTAATTTTGGCAGGCATTATTCACAATTAAAGTTCACTCAAAAAATATACCCCAACAATTCAAACCTAGTTGTTCTACACAACCAATTCAATCCTGCAAAAACAAACAACACTTCTAAAAATTCACGCTTTACCCCCCAAACTTCAAATTTCAATTTTACACAAACACTCCAATATTTCAAACACCCACACTCCTCACAATCACCCAATGCACGAACTACTCTTCCTTTAACAAAATCACCCAAATTCAACAACTCAACCGCAACAAAAATTTTCAGATCTACAATTAAAAACTTGAAATTGTGCGATAAAAAGCTTTGGGTACTTGAGATCTTACCAATATGAAGGAGTATTCGCCACCAATTAAATCATAAACAGCCCAGATTGAAAAGCCCCAAATTCTTGATCCAAAAATTTTCGTGAAATTTTCACGAAAATTGTTGTTGAAATGGGTTGTTTTGGTGTTTAGGAAAGTTAGGGAGTAAGAATTTTGGTTAGGAAAGCACTAGGAAGGCAAAAGATTGAATTTTGAAATTCTTTTTCTCTTAAGTGAATATGAAGAGTTGAGTGAAGAATGAAAAAGAAAAGTGGGTATTTATAGAAAAGTACCGTCGCCGAGGCGAAGTTCATCTTTTAAGAACCCTAAAAAAAACCCAGGTTTCACCACGGCGAAGAAAAATTCTTCGCCGGGGCGAAAACATATAGAGGAAACTCGCCTTGGCGAAGAATTTTCTTCGCCGCGGCGACAATGCCTTAGAAAATTTTCAAGAAATTTTATCCTACTTTCTTCACCGCGGCGAAGACAATTCCTTCGCCGGGGCGAAAACTTCCAGGAGCTCACACAATTATCAGGTTTCTTCGCCCCGGCGAAGTCTGGGGCTTTCACACCGAATTCTTCTTCACAATGCTTCACCGCAGCGAAGAATACTTCTTCGCCTCGGTGAAGTCTGGAGCATTTTAATTCCTTTCTTTGGCTGAAAACTTCACCTGAAACACCCAAAAACACACACATTAAAAATCATACAAACTCATAATGAATTCAGACAAATTCAAACAACCAAAATGAAAAACAAACAATTAAAAATACTTAGATTGCCTCCTAAGAAGCGCTTGTTTATAGTCGATAGCTCCACTCTCCTATGTCTTTCATGTCTTTCATGTCAAGTCGGATTGGGATTGATTTGCAACTCAGCATCCCATCTATGTAGGGCTTCAATCTCTGTCCATTTACTGTAAAGGTGCCATTTTCTTTATGTGACACTTCCACCGCTCCGTATGGGTGAACTCTTGTCACTGTGAACGGTCCGGACCATCTAGACTTAAGTTTTCTGGGAAAAAGCCTAAGCCTAGAATTGAACAAAAACACCTTCTGCCCTACTTCAAAGTCCTTCTTCCGGATATGCTTGTCATGCCACCTTTTTGTCTTCTCCTTGTAAATCCGGGCATTCTCATATGTATCGAGACGAAACTCATCGAGTTCGTTCAAAGTCAATATCCTTTCTTCTCTAGCAGCTTTCAAGTCCATGTTTAGCTGCTTGACTACTGATAATCCGTGGATTATACAGTTTTCATTAGTCTTTTTATTCGGATTTCAGGTACTTTTTGGTGCATTTTGACCTGAATTTTTGTTTAATTCTTTACATTTTGTGTTTCAGGTTAAAATGGATATTTTGAGCAAATAAGAACAAAATTGGAAGTTTTGACTCAGAAGTTAGCGGATCTCAGAAGTTAGGAGAGTTATGAAGCAGGACAAAGCACTATGAGGCTTGTTCCAAAGGGAGAGCACCGAGAATCGAAGAAGAAAGAGAAGAAGCAAGTAGAGTGGCAGTTCTGTAAATTCATAACCTTTCAAGTAGCTTCGCCCCGGCGAAGATTTGTCCTTCGCCGTGGTGAAGTATGGCAGATACGAACAAGTCTGATGCTTTCTTTGCCGCGGCGAGATTCCTTCTTCGCCGCGGCGACAGTCTTAAATTTCAGTTTTGTAAAATGCACAGTTTTGCTTTGTACTTGTTTTTTGGAGAAATTTTGGACGAGGTATAAAAGAAAAACTTAACATCTTTGCCCAGGGTCGTGCAGGAAGTAGGGTTGGCAACTTTTACATTGTTTTGGATTAAGCTTAGAGATTTTTAGCAATTAAAAGGGTGAAGATTCGATTTTGAACCAACGATTCATCAATTGAGGAGATTTCTTGTCCTTTCTCTTACTTTTCATTATGTTGAATTTGATTATTATTGTTTTTCTTAATTGTAGTGTTAATTTAGCTATGAACTAACCCATTTTGGGTTAGGGTTTTGATTGTAATTCGGATTTCTAATGGGTTAATTATTAATCATGTTATGTTCATATGACTATGTTTTGATTGTGTGTTTGCTCTGAAATTTAATGCTTTATGTGATGAACATGATGAGATTGAGAAATGAATCATGTTAGGCTTCTTGGGTAATCACCATTATAGTATTGAATGCTGGAGATAGATTCAAGAATTAATGAAATCATTGTAGGATTCTTATGCTTAATGAGTTTGGAATTGTTAACCTTCAAATTGTTGGGTGCGGAAGGTTAAAAAGGAAGAATAGGAAAGCATAGCCTGAGAAGGTATGTTTAACACCTTAGTGAGTTCGGTTTACAATCAATGCATATGAATGTGAATGTAGTGCAATTTTTAGATTTAACCCATAAAATCCGAATGAAGTCAAAACCCTACCCGTTTTACTTGAATTGATTTTAATCCTTGTTTTACATCTTGCATTGTTAGTTAATTTGCAATTTAGAAATTTTGTTTTAGTAATAGGTTAAATAGCTCCCATTAATCCAAAAGATTTCGGTTGCTCCAACTTGAGAATAGTAGAAAACTTAGTGCTTAGCTAACATTCCTCGTGGGAACAATACTCACTCATCATTATATTACTTGTGCGATTAGTATACTTGCTACATATTGCATGTTGTAGGAAACACGCATCAACTGCCCAATATGCTTTATGTTCGAGTTCTACCGGCAAGTGGCATGCTTTCCCATAAACCATCCTAAATGGAGACATACCAATTGGAGTCTTAAAAGCTGTTCGGTATGCCTATAGTGCATCATCCAGCTTCCGTGACCAATCTTTCCTAGATGCATTAACTGTCTTTTCTAAAATCCTCTTGAGTTCTCTATTCAACAGTTCCACTTGCCTGCTCATTTCGGATGGTAAGGTGTTGTAACTCTATGTGTCACTCCATACTTACTCAACAGTGCATCCATTTGCCTATTGCAAAAGTGAGATCCTCAATCACTAATGATTGCCCGTGGTACCCCAAACCTTGAGAAAATATTCTTTCTCACAACCTTAATCACTACCCTAGCATCATTAGTCGGCAATGCAACCGCCTCAACCTATTTCGACATGTAATCCACCGCTACCAAGATATATGTGTTCCCAAAAGAACTTGGGAAGAGACCCATGAAATCAATCCCCCACACATCAAAAAGTTCAACCACCAGGATGTTGTTCAACGGCATCTCATCTCTTTTTGATATATTACCCATCTGTTGACATTGGTCACACTCTTGAATCATCCGGAAGGAATCCTTAAAGAGGGTTGGCCAATAAAACCCCGATTGTAAAACCTTGGCTGTTGTCCTAGCTCCCCCAAAATGGCCACCTACTTCCTTCTCGTGACAATGCCGTAGAATGCTTTCCATCTCCTCCTCCGGGACACATCTCCGTATCATTTGATCAGTACAGTGTCTGTATAGAAACGGTTCTTTCAAAAAGTAGTACTTCAAATTTCAAAAGAATTTTCTCTTTTGTTGGTAGGTCATACTACTTGGGAGCACTCTTGATGACAAATAGTTTGCAAAATCCGCATACCATGGTGCTTCTTCCACTCTCATCAACTTCTCATCTGGAAATGTTTCTCTAATGGGCATTTCCTCCTCATTTCCCTTGATTGGTCTCTCAATTCTCGACAAGTGATCAGCCACCACATTTTTCGACCCCTTCTTGTCTCGAATTTCCAACTCGAACTCCTGAAGTAGTAAAATCTATCTTATCAGCCGAGGTTTTGCTTCTTGCTTTGCCAATAGGTGCCTTAGTGCTGAATGGTCTGTGTAGACGATCACCTTTGCACCTAACAAGTAAGAACGAAACTTGTCAAAAGCAAAAACTACAGCCAACAATTCTTTTTCAGTGGTGGTGTAATTCAATTGTGCATCAACTAGTGTTTTGCTAGCATATTGAATTACATGCAACACTTTGTTTTTCCTCTGTCCTAAAACTACCCCTAAAGCAAAATCACTAGCATCACACATCAATTCGAAGGGTAGTCCCCAATCGGGAACTGCAATATAGGTGCAGATACTAATAATTTTTTCAGAGTTAGAAAGACATGCATGCAATCATCATTAAAGTCAAAAACAACATCTTTATTCAATAAATTGCAAGGGGTTTAGAAATCTTAGAAAAATCCTTGATGAAGCGTCTGTAAAACCCCGCATGCCCCAAGAAACTTCGGACTGCTTTGACATTTGATGGTGGTGGCAGCTTCTCAATCACTTCTGTCTTTGCTCTATCAACTTCTATTCCATCCTTGGAGATCCTATGCCCGAGTACTATTCCCTCTTGAACCATGAAGTGACACTTCTCCCAATTGAGCACCAAGTTCTTCTCCTTACATCGCTGCAAAACAAAAAAAAGATTAGTTAGACAGCTATCAAATGATGAACCAAAAACTGAGAAGTCATCCATGAAGACTTCTATAAACCGTTCCACCATGTCTCCAAAGATTGACATCATGCATCTTTGAAATGTTGCTGGTGCATTGCATAACCCAAAAGGCATCCTTCGGTAAGCAAAAGTGCCGTAGGGGCAAGTGAAGGTCGTCTTCTCTTGATCCTCAAGAGCGATGTCAATTTGGTTATATCCTAAATACCTATCCAGGAAACAGTAATAGGCATGTCCTGCCAACCTCTCCAACATCTGATCAATGAAAGGTAATGGAAAATGATCCTTCCTTGTTGCCTCATTCAATTTTCGGTAATCAATGCATACTCTCCAGCCCATCACCGTCCTCGTTGGTATCAACTCGTTACTCTCATTCTTTACCACTGTGATACCTCCCTTCTTCGGAACCACTTGTACTGGGCTCACCCATGGGCTATCGAAAATAGGATAAATAATCCCCGCATCTAAGAGTTTCACCACCTCCTTTCTCACCACTTCCTTCATCGAAGGATTCAATCTCCGTTGTGGTTGCACCATAGGTTTAAAATCATCCTCCATAAGTATCTTATGCATGCAAAATGATGGCGAGATACCTCTAATGTCCGAAATGGTCCATCCAATTGCTAGTCTATGTTCCCTCAACACCCTAATCAACCGCTCTTCCTCTAATGTACTCAAACCTAAATTAATGATCACCGGGAAAGTTTCTGAGTCTCCAAGATAAACATATTTGAGGTGGGAAGGTAAAGGTTTCAATTCAAGCTTTGGAAGTTCTTCATTTTTTTCCTTTTCCTTCTCTTTGTCAAAATTAAACTCTTTAAATTCTACATCTTGACTCTCATCAATCGGTTGAAGTGCTTCTAACATCATAGCACAATCATTAATCGCCGACTCATCTACCTCTACTGTTTTTGATTTGGCTATACACGCTTCTAGAGATAATTGTGAGGTGTTTTCTTCCATAGATTCCTCAACCAATTTGTCCACCACATCGACACTAAAGGATGAATCTGTTTCAGACGAAAACTTCATCGCCTAAAAGACATTGAAAGTTACTGTTTCATCTTGAACTCTCAACAATAACTTTCCTTCCTGCACATCAATAAGTGCTCTCCCCGTGGCCAAGAATGGTCGTCCCAAAATCAGAGGAATTTCCTTATCCTCTTCCATGTCTAACACCACAAAATCTACTGGAAAAATTATCTTTCCCACCTTCACCAAAACATCCTCTACTATCCCCCTCGGGTGTTTTATTGACCTATCCGCTAGTTGCAACGACATGGTCGTTGGCTTCACTTCACCAATTCCCAATCTCCTGAAAACAGAAAAGGGCATCAAATTAATACTAGCTCCTAGATCACACAAAACACGATCAAATGTAATATCTCCTATAATACAAGGAATAGTAAAACTCCTTGGATCTTTGAGCTTCAGGGGTAACTTCTTCTGGAGGATGGCACTGCACTCCTCCGTGAGCATCACTGTTTCCTCATCTTCTAACTTCCTTTTGTTCGATAAGATTTCCTTAAAGAACTTCGCATAACTTGGCATCTGCTGCAATGCATCTGCAAAAGGAATGTTAATATGCAATTTTTTTAAAATTTCAATAAACTTTGAAAATTGCTTATCCTGATTCTTTTTCTTCAATCTTTGAGGAAAAGGCATGGGTGGGGTGTGATGTGCCAACTCTGGTGGTATCTCGGGGAATGGCAATTTCTCCTTCTTCTTTTGCCTTTCATCTTTTTTCTCTTCCTCTTCCTCCAAACCACTTGGGTTCTCTTCAGCAACAATCTCTTCATCAACTTCCTCTTCAGATTCTTCC